GTGAGTCACCCCCAAGGCCTCACATTCCGCTGGGCCTGCAAGTGAAGGATGCTTTTCAGGGGAGCGGCGGGGAACTTGCTCTGTGGTGGGACTGGGCAACTAAAGCCAGGGAGCAGAGACTGTTGTCTGTGCTGGTTTCTATGAAAGCTGAATCCAGAAAATTCAAAAATAGCTGCCTGAACCACGGAGCGGGGTTTCAGGGGAATGGCGGTGTGCTGAGCCAAGAGCAGCTGCTGGGGGCGGTGGCCGTGGCGGCCCGCGCCCGGGAGGTGGAACGCTCTGCTGTCTCTCTGCCTGTCTGCCTCATGGGACAGAGGCGGATTCAGTGGAACCGGGCCACTCTCCGAGGTGCTGGGGAAAGAGAAGGCTTCGGGGAGTGTGCCCTCGGGCTGCTTTAGCAAGGCTTTCACAGCGATAGTTACAAATACCTGTGTCCGTTTTCCTCCAGCGGAGCCCCGTGTTACCCATCTCGTGCTCTAGGAATGGCAGTGGTGGTGGCCCGCATGCCAGCCCTACGGCAGGGACATCTCTGTACCACAGATGAGGATTCTGGGGACAGTCACGTGTCTTGGGTGATTCTCTTATAAGAAGGCCCTTAGAAACCGCCGTGGGTAACTGGAATGATTCGTAACCATGCCCCTGGCAGGGGACACAGCTGGTCTGCAGCTGAAGCTTTTGGTGAGTGATCTGGTCCCAAAAACAGCATGTTACCCCAGTGGGCACGGCAGAGTGGCTGGGGTTGGAATCCGTGAACTCCGGGTGCTGACAGGGAGGGCAGAGGAAGGGAACAGCCCCAAGTGCAGGCCTTCGAGCCTATTGGCACGGGGCCTGCACCAGACTACCAAGCACGGGCTTCCGCTGGTGCCAGAGGAGCAGTGCCAGGAGGAGCCAGTGTCCTGTCTGCCTCCTGCAGGCCTGCAGCCACGCCGTCAGTCTCCGTGCACAGCACAAGGGCAAAGGCCATGGACTGCAGAGTGGGGATGCAGAGGCTGGGAGGCCCCTGGGAGGCAGAACCCCAGTGTGCGGCTGCAGTCCCAGGAGTGCTGCTGGGCACCTCCCTCCCGCTGCCCAAGGCCGGTCAGCACCTCTCAGCCACGGCCCTCTCACCTCCACCCCAGCTCCAACACACGCCGGGAGGGAGAACTGGGCAGACTGGGGGTGGAGGGTGGGAGCTGGCATATCGGAGGGAACTGGAGCATGACCGGAGCCAGGCCTGACCCCTGCAGAGCCAGCCCTCAGGGAGTCAGAAAATGGCACAGCAGGGCACCCACCACAGGGACCCGCACGGCCCAACGGCATGCACGAGAGCACAGGTGGGACGGGAGCAGAGCTGCGGATGGTGTCCTGCCACGGGCGTGCAATGGCGGCGACTCGTGGGGACAGGAACACGGCCAGCCGTAGAGCCTGCAGGTGCCGGGACAGGGCCAGCTCTGCCTTCTCTCCTCCACTGCCTCCCTGAGGCAGAGCATCTGCTCACGAAGTAACAGCAGATGGAACCGGGCAACTCCTAAGCTCCGGGACATGGACGTCACAAGGTGTTGGTGTTGCACGGAGGGCTGATGGGCCAGCCACTCTGTGGCAGCTATCATCTTCCAGGCAGCCCTGGGAGGTCGCCATGGCCCTTTAAGAGAGGTGATCAAAGCCACCACGTCCCTGCAACTCTGAATCTGTCCCCAGTCCCCTGCCTCCTGCCTGCGCCCCTGGGGGATCCCCAAGCTGGACGGGGTGGAGGTGGAGGTGGAGGTGGAGGCGGGCTAGGCCCACCAGGAGCTGAGGGTGGAGCCCCTGGTGTTATTTGTCTTGTGCTTTAGGAGCGAGGGTGGGGGGAGTGGGCTGGGACTGCTGGGGTGTTGAGCGCAGGATGCATGGAGCCCGGGACCCTGCCCCACAGTCACCCCACTGGGTCCCTTCTGCTTCTCCGTATGTCTTCCCCACCTGACTCCAAACCACGGCGATGTTCCCTGCTCTCGCAGAACCACAGTTTGAGGCTGTCTGCCTCCTGTATGGCTTCCCCTGCTTCCTAACAGCGATCAAACCACATCACACTCCAGCAAGGCCACACAGAAAGGTCCTCTGGGCCCTGGCACTGGCACTGGCATTGGCCAGCACTGCCATCAGCCTGGCCTGCTCCCACCCAGGGACAGATCTCACCCAGGGAGAAGACCACTGGGTATCCAACTCCGAGAAGGTGGCAGCAGTCTGTGGTTAAGTGGCAGCTCACGGAGCACGAATGTCACGGCCACTCCTCTGCATTGATGTCTCGGCGCATGCCGGGTCTGTGCAGTGGCCCTCTCTGGCTTCGCCACCCCCACCAGCTCTCTGGCCACTCCTGGCCCGTGGCTCTGCACCCAGCCCTCCTGGCCTCGGCCCCTGGCTCCATAGCCGGCCCTGCTCTGGGCTCTGCACTGCTCGGCTGGATGCCTCGGAACACAACCACCTCTGTGTTCTGTGCCTTCAGCTGGAAAACAGAATTATGGTCACCACCTTCCTCAGGGGGCAAGGACTCACTGTGGAAATGGTCTGGGAAAGATCCAAACCCTACTGGCTGCTTGGAAGGGGCGCTGCTGCATGAATAAGCCGTGGCCCGGGGCCCACTCTGTGCCTCTGAAGTCTGTTTATCTTCCTGGCTCACAGTCCCCACAGGTGGGGGTGGCCAAAAGGCAGACCTGCCCTTTGCAGAGCCCTCTCCTGTCAGACTAATCTGGCGGCTCACTGTGCAGGGGTGGGAGGGAGCGTGTCCCCGAGAGAGCTTCTACAGGAGAGCACAGATGCAGTCCAGGAGGGGAGCCTTGCACCCAGTCGGGAAGGGCCATTTTACTTCTCAGGGTCCGAGCTTCACAAGGGCCGTGTGGGGCTGGCAGGGAAGGGATGCTCATTCTCATTTTATAGGAGAGGAAACAGACTTGTCCGAGCCCCAGGACTGCGGGGCACAGGCCCTCAGCCTCTGTGCACGACTCCTGGCCTTGGAGCCCACACCTCAACCCTAGCCTGGAGCTGTCGGAGCAGTCAGAGAGAATACAGGGTGGCTGTCAGAAGGGGACGAGCTCCAGACAACCTCCCCCGCAGAAACAGAATACAAGCTGCATCTGCAAGTCTTACATTTCTTCTAACCACAGGTAAAAAGCATAACAAAAAAGAAAATTGACTTCAACCAAAATATCTTATTTAACCCTCTATCTTCAGAATACTATTTCAACATTAGCATATCAAAACTATCCATTATTAATGGGACCAGCAGTTGGCGTAATGGCTATGTCACTGGACTCCCATCTAGTCGACTGTGGTTCAAGTCCCGGACCCGGTGGCTTAAACTCACGCCAGGCGCATGTGCGTGTGTGCCCAAAATTCAAAGAGGAGAATGGAGGAGAAGGGATTGCAGCTTGGCCATCCCCTACGGTGGGTGATTTCTTGCTTTCTGTCTCTGTCTCTCTCCGTCTTTCTGGTGAGCTCATGCACCCTATAGCAAAAAATAAAAAAATAAAAAATAAAAAAAAACCCTCTCTCTCCCAAAACAAACAAACAAAAATTATCCATGAATAATTCTAACTCTGTTATATTCTCTTTAGTTGCTAGTAACGGCAACGCCGGAGTCTGGGTGGTGTAAGAGAAGTTTATTTAGCTCACGGTTTGGTGGCCCAGGGCACCTGGTAAGGGCCTAGTGGACCACATGGTGAGGGCAGGAGCTGGCGCAGGGCAGAGCGTCTGTGTGCCCCCGTCTCTCTTCCTCTTTGTAAACCCACTGGGGTTCCATCGTGGGAACTCATCTTTCAGCTTCCTGGTAACGGCTGTTTCCCTGGCAGTTGCTCTTGCCTAGGCGCTCCGACCCCCCTGCCCCACGTGCAGCTGTGGACTTGCAGGGGTCCCTCTGCACGTTTCTGGGAATCTCACCAATTATTTTTAGCACCTTTTCATATACTCGGTGTTAAGAATGTTGTGTTCGTTTTCTATTGAGGTTGCCGGACTCTGTAATTTACAGGAGCGCCCTCAACGTTCCTGACCCTTGTCCTCTGTTGGAACAGCCGTAACAAATACCTCCTCCCATTCTTGCATGCTATGCTTCAGTGACAGAAATCTTGTTCGCATACGTTATGGTTTGTGCTTCTGAAGTGTCACTAAAGATCCCCTTTGGCCTGGTCACCGGATCTTTTCCTCTGTTAAACTCACACCTTCACTTTTTATAGTTCGGTCTTTAACCAGAGAGCTCACCATCTAGGCAGTGCTGGGCAGAAACCCTCACTGCTATTTCTCCATGCACTGGGAACCCACCCACCGAAGAACCCGTCCTTTCCCACCAGGCTGCCGGGCCACCACGCCGGTAAATCCAGTTCCCACCTACCGCGTCAGCCCTCCAGTTCTCCATCCTGTGTGTGGTCTCACGGTCACATCTCACAAATAGCCACAGACAGATTGTATGGCCTTGCAACCTCCCTCCCTCAACTTCGTTAGTGAGCAATTTCTGTTTACAATTTAAATTGACCAAATTTCTGGAATTATCCAACTGGAGTTTTTATTGAGTATGCAACAACTTTATAAAGTGCTTTGGGGAAAATTGTTCTTATTTTTTGTTATCACATCCAGGATTATTTGGATATTCTTAATTCTTCTATTTAATCCATGTATAGTTTTAACCCATATGTAGGTTTTTATAATCCACATTTCCCATGAACTGTCCCAAGAGCCCTTATATAACCCTACGCTGTGGCCCACGGACATGTCAAACACCGTATCCCAGTAGGCCCGCAGGTACAGTTCTTGGCTCTCCCAGAAACCTTTGGTCCCAAGGTGCCAAGGGTCCCGCTGTGTAAGACAACCAGTAGTCCGCTTCCCGAGCCCCCAGCGGAGCCCACCCCTCCGGCTAGGAGCCGTCACCCAGGAACTGGGTCAAGATGGCAAAGCAGGCTTTCCAAGGGGCCTCACGTGGGCACAGTCCCAAGCACGACCACCTTTCCCCATCTGCGTTCAGCTGCAGCCACCGCGCAGGCCCCAGACAGAAACATCCAGCATTTTAAAAATGACTTTATTAAAGGCTATTAATATAAAATACGACCAAGTTACAAGGTGCCAGGAAGAGTTTATCATTTTTTAAAATGTGTATCAAAGAAAGGAGGCGCTAGGAAAGGGAGGCCCCTTCCGCCATCCACATGGAGGCGAGGCTCACGGTGAGGCCTGCTGCCCCAGGTGGGCAGCGCTCCCCACCCGGCCAGCCAGAGAGGGGCCGAGGTAAAGCGGAATGTGCTCCCAAGCCCTGGGGAGTTCCCGTAAAATGCGTCACCAAAAGCAGGACACAGGATCCTTGCTGCATCCCAGGGGCTGCAGGTGGGCGTGGGCCGGCCTCTTAGCCAGATGGCTTCAGCTGCAAAGTGTGCACGGTCTCAAAACTTGTCTGAACTCCCCATCCTGATGCCTGGGGAAACAATGCGGCGAACTTAGAGTTTAACGTCTGGATGCTGAGATGTCTCCGTAGAAGGGGAAGAACCGTCTTCGCATCCACTTGGTCCGGGGTGAAGACCCGAAGCCCAGCAGGAGGGAGACCACCAGTGCGTCCTCCAGCCCTTGGCTCTGTCCAGAAGCTGAGCAGCAACCAAACCCTAGGCGCCTCTCTGGGACTTCCCGGTTTCTGCTTCTACGTGTGATTTGGGACTCCATACCAACCAGAGCCACTATTCGCAGATACACTGAGGCCTGCTGGGTGCAGGGCCCCAGACAGCAGTAAGGGGCAGCTTTCGATAACCCCCACATCTCAGCTCCAAGGAGAACTTCACGGCTTTCTGGGAACATGGGGAAGAAGTCGGGACTCCAGCCACAAGGACAGATCACCTTGGTCAGCGTCCCAAGCCACAGCCCTCTCCCTGCTGTACCAGCACTCAGGGACTCACGTACACACGTACTGCTACCTGGGTTCTAAAATGGCTGCGGCTTCAAGGCAGAAAGCGGAGGCAGGAGGCCGTGCTCTGAGGCTCCCTGTCTGTGGTTAGCCCTGCAGGGGGCCAGTGCAGTGGCAGCTGGGATCCCTAGGGCCCGTCTCCCCTTGCATGGACCAACCGTGCCTAAGCAGCTCCGAAAGGACCTGTTTTTGCCAAGTTACACTTGGTCGCTAAAGGAAGAAGGTCACTCCAGGCCCCAAGGAGGCAGACGAGGCTTTGGGACCCCAAGCGACTGGCAGCAACCAGAGTGAGTGCTGGCCATGCTGCGGCACTGGCAGAACCCTCCTGGGGGAGCAGCCACGTGCTTTGTCTTGCAGCCAGATAAAATATCCTGGGAATTGTTTCAAACACACATTTGGGTACTGACACCAAGCTCTCCTGGCAGGGCTCAGAGGGATTAAGGCTTCAGGTGAGGAAACTGCAGTGGGAGTGGCGTAGAGGTCACAACGCAGGGCTTGGACAGCTCAGGGGCCACAGGTCAAGGACCCTGGGAGGGAGCGGCTTCCCTAGCAGAGCTCCATGCCTCTCTGCAGGCCAGGGCCACCTCGGTCCACGGGCAGCAGGGAGAGTTTGAACCGATACCCACACAGGCCTCCAGGAGGCGCTGCAGGGTGGTCACTCTTCCACTCTGCTCCGGTGGAGGTCAGGGTTGGGAGGCTCCTTTACAACCCAGCCTCCCGGTCCTTGGGATGGAGGTGTCAGTCTCCAGCTGCCAGGAAGGTTCTAATGCCGCTCATCAGAAGAGCCCGCCCTCCAGCTGTGCCCACCATCTGCCCTGGCTCCACAGGTGCCCACAACAGGGCAACCACAAGCCACATACAGAACAAGAACTTCCGAAAGGAATTGGTACAAAATCAAGAAAAGCCACAGCCCTGTTGTCGCTGAATCTAGATACAGAAAAATGAAAAGTTACTGCAAAATTTTAAACATGCAGCTCTTTTTAAACAAAGACTGGTACTTTTAATACGCGTTGGGGCAGCATAGACGCCACCTGCCACGTGCCAACCGTCTGCTTTCTGGGTGCAGGGTGGCACATGCTTAGAGGCGGGGCCCTGGCCGGAGATGCCTGGGCAGCTGTGTGCTGAGTGGGAAGTGCGTGGGCCAGATCTGTCCTGGGGACTGCCAGCACGCTGATGTCATCGAGCTGAGGACGTGGAGGACGTGCCGTGGCCCAGGGGAAGCCACGCGTTAAACAGGGGTGGGGAGCGAAGGAGGGGATGGAGATCGCGTTTTGGAGTTCTGTGAGCTGGCTGGGAAAACGCTTCCTTTGCGGAGGGAAAGTGGGTGGGGCCGGGAACAGAAGTTTTATTTACAAGCTTTATTGAATTCTAAGCGGTTCTTAAAAACTCCAAATGTAAAACTTCTGTTATCAAATCACTGAAAATAGCATATATATCTGGTTTTACCAAAAAAGGAAAAATCTGGCAATATTTACTAGTTTGTTTCCAAATGATTAAGAAAAGAGTGTAGAGAAATTGAGAAAATACCGAAAAAGTATGCCCTTTTATCCTCCTCACGCGACACTTTGGAAAGCACGTTGGGGTTCCTGGTTCGCCGATTTTGTTGGACACATTTTACCAATTGTCCAGAAAGTCAAACCCGGTCTTCAAGACGACAGTGCTTGAGCTGACCTGTAGGAAGGACGAGCACACTGAAGTAAGGAGTGAGCACTTTTTTTTTTTTTTTTGTAATTATGCGTAATCTAAAAACAGCACCTCATCTAAAATGACCCAAATGAAATACCCTGCTTCTGTCTCAGAGGCTCCTTGACCTTGATTTACCTGAGCTTGGAACCAAAAGGTTAAGTAAATTCACTGCAAGCCATGGTGCGCCCTGCCCTAGCCCCTGCCCTGCCCTAGCCCCTCCACCCACAGCTCACGGCATGGCGGTGAGCACAGACCCATTACGGGGCAGGGACAGCAATGTCGTGCTGCTTTTCTGTCAGTCTTTTCTGAGCGCAGACATGTTAAATTTATCCATCATAAAACAAGAGAATTATAGGATATTTTTATAATTTCTAATGTAAAACAAGCGCACGTATGGATGCAACACGAAAAAAGAACCTGTAAAGGGGTGAGAATGTCGGGGAGAACGAAAAGCTCTTTCCTCGGGTCACATGGGAGAAGCAGGGTTTGCCCAAAGCCGTCAGGACCGGCCTTTGTTTCGAGGGAAGCAGGATGAACTCGCTGGGCGCAAGACAGGGGCCCGGCTGGGCTGAGCCCAGTGACCGCGGCAGCCCACCGCCAGCAGTGGGGACGCCGGCGAGGGACTCCCTGAAGCTGCCTCAGACGGAAGCACAGGGATTCGGTCCTGCTCTTTTTCTGATTTCCCTCAGTTTTTTAGAGGGGGTGGCATTCCTCTGAGCTCCACTCAGAAATCTGCCCTCTCGGGCATTTCGTGTTCTGCCCAGGCTCTGCCCAGACACCTCCCTGTTTCTCTTACCGTTGAGGGTCCCCGTTATCAGACTGTTCCCTTCGAGAAGGCCCAACTTCAGTCTCAGAGAAAGAGTGCCCTGCCCGTTAGTTACGGTAGTGCTCGGTAGTTAGGGTGGTGCTAGGTAGTTAGGGTAGTGCTAGTTAGTTAGGGGTAGTGCTAGTTAGTTACAGGTGGTGCAGAGCCAAGCCTGTCTGGAAGGAGCTGCCAGGCAGGAAGGTTAGAGACAGAAAACCAAGAACGGGCAGGGCCCAGGGGCCTGGGAAGGGACAGGGCCGTGAGCACTGGGCTCAGGTGGAGGGGAAATGTGCGGAGAAGAGAGGAGCAGGGACACTGATGCACAGCTGATGGAAGGCAGGAAGTGCTGGAGTCTCAGGGTCCGCCCTCCTCAGAGGATGACAGACAGCAGCTGAGGGAGGTGTGAGGGCACCCGGCACGCCCTCCAGAAACCACCCAGAGTCACCAGGAGACGATGACACCTCGACAACAAAGCAACACACAACCCAGCTGAAAACAGATGAAAGAAGACGGACGGGCCAAAACAAGTGATATGAACGGCCAGGAAGCACATGAAACGGCAAGGGCGTCCTCAATGCTCAGGGACATGCGAATCACAGCGACCACGGGGCCAGCATCTAGCTCAGTGCGTAGAGGAGCCGGATGCTACACGGCCAACCATGGTTTGAGTCCTAAACCCAGAGCTCGAAAAACATGAAGCACATGAAACGGCAAGGGCGTCCTCAAGGCTCAGGGACATGCGGATCACAGCGGCCACGGGGCCAGCATCTAGCTCAGTGCGTAGAGGAGCCGGATGCTACAGGGCCAACCATGGTTTGAGTCCAAACCCAGAGCTTGAAAAACATGCTGGCACGTGTGCGTGCATGTCCAAAGTCCCAGCAGGGTAGGGAAATGGAGAGGGGACTGTGGCATGACCCCGGGGAAGTGCTTTCTCCCTCCGCCCTGCTCGGCCTCTGTCTCTCTCTGGCACAAAAAGTAACAGTAATAATGAGCTACCACTACCCGTCACCTACTCACACCAATGAGACGGCACTACCAAAGAAACAAAAATAACCAAAGTTGGCAAGGAGGTAGAGAAACCGGAACACCTGAGTTGCTGTCGGTGGGAATGGAAAATGGTGCAGCTGCTATGGAAAACAGTGTGGATACTGGTCAAAAAATTAACAGTAGAATTACCATAGGATCTAGCAATTCCTCATCTGGGTGTATACTCGAGAGAATTGAAAGCAGGGGCTTGAAGAGACATATGCTCAGCAAATTCAGAGCAGCTTCATTCACCATAGGCAACAGGTGGGCAAATGGGTAGACAAAATGTGCTATGTCCATACAGTGCACTATTACTCAGCCTTAAAACAGGGTGGGGGTGTGACGCGTGACACAACATAGAAGAACCTCGATGAAGACGTCGTGCAGAGTGAGATGAGAGTCACTTTAAAGACAAAGGCTGCGTAACTCCACTTATTCGAGGCACCTAGAGTGGTCAGGTGCACACATGTAAACGCACACGTGCATACGTTTCCACGGAAAGCAGAGCAGAGTTGCCAGGGGCTGGGGGAGGAAGGGAGGGGAGTTGGCAGTTAACGGGGACAGTGTTTCAGTGGGCCTGAAACTGGATGGCGGCGATGGTTAAGGGCAACGCAAATGTTATGCCGCTCAACTGCACATTAAAAATGAAGATGACAAAAGCTATGTTACATATATTTTGCCACAATTCGAAAGACAGACAGGAGCCTGAAGGCCAGAAAAGGCAATGATGCCCACGTGAAGAACCGCGTCCTGGGCTCTCCATCCACCAGGCACTGGAAACCAGCCGGCCCACATGGAGGGGCAGACGCCATGAGGCCTCTCGAGAACGCCTGCCTGCCTTCCCAACAGGTATTTCCCTGGCTCCCAAATCCAGACCCACTGCTAAACCACGTGCCACTGGCTATACGGGCAGCTCCCAAGGCAAAGGCCTACCAGGCCCCTGCAGCTACGGCAAGCTTGCAGTCACTGGCACTGACACGCTGACCTCATCACTCCCATCCTCTATGGTCCCACGTCAGGGCCAACCCTGGCCTCCACCCTCCAGCCAGACTCATCTGTGGACTGGACTGCCCCCTACCTAGTGCCCCCCCAGAGCTCAGCAAGTGCCCGATCGCTCAGAGAGACCTTGCATGGCAGAAGCACCGCTGGGCCCGGCCATGCAGCCTGGAGGGTGCAAGCAGAGCCAGCTCCAGGTAGACACACACAGGCTGTGCCCATGGCCTGGCAGGTGCGAGCAGGGAGAGGCCGCCCCCGATGCGGGCTCAGTCACGCCTGTGTGCAAACGGGCTGCCTCGCTGACCAGAGACACCTCCATGAAGGCCTCCCTGAGATGTACTGCCCGCCCTGTTTCCCGGCTTAGTTTTGTGTGATCCTGTAATCGGGCTGCCTCGCTGACCAGAGACACCTCCATAAAGGCCTCCCTGAGATGTACTGCCTGCCCTGTTTCCCGGCTTGGTTTTGTGTGATCCTGTAACGCCAGTGCCATTTAAAGGCAGGGACAAGCATTGTCTTCTCTGCGCTGTCTCATTCTTAAGCGATGCAGATAGACCGGCAAAGACCAGGGTCACCACTGCTCCCCCAGGAAACCAGACCACTCAGGAGCTCCGGGCTGCTCACGCCCCTCACCCACTGTTTCTCCTCCACCCTGCAAGGACCACCTTTCTTGATGTCCTCCGACACTCAACCCTGCCCTGCTTAGGAACCAGCAGCCAACCCCTCCCTGATGCCACAGTCCCCTGATACGGCTGAACTCTTGGTAGGCTCTGGGGTCCCCCCAGCTTCCTTCATGCCCCTCAGGACCCCTGTGGGTCCCTTCCTCACTAGGCTCCACCCCCTGGCTGACAACTTTCCCCCCGAACTCGCCCTGCAGGGCCCCACATCCGACCTCACCTGCCCCCATTGACAGAGCTAACTGGACTTCCTGACCTCAGAAGCCCTGGGAGGAGGGCAGGGGGAGGAGGGCAGGGGAAGGAGGAGAGAAGGGGAAAGTGTGAGCACCTGTGGCCCCCGGTAGCCCCCCTAGTACCCCGGAAGAAGGGCCCCACCTGTGCAGGCTTGGGCTCCATGAAGAGTGCGTCGTCCTCGTCACCCTGTGTGTCCTCAAAGGACAGCAGCTTCCTCGCGGGCTCGGAGGGGGCGGCCTCATGCGAGCTGCATGGGGAGGCCTGGGCGGGCTGGGGTCTCTCACGCTCCCCGCTCTGGCTCACACCGAGAAGGGTGCGCTGCTCCTGGCGGAGGGTGCTGGGCTTGTCCACCTTGGCCTCCCTGTCCTTCGGGGCAGGCTCCGGCCGATAGCAGGCAGGTAAGACCTTCTCCCCTTTCTCCATGGACTTGATCTGACTAGGGGTCAGCGACTGGAACTCGGCCTCGGACCCCTCACCCCGGGACCGCTCGGCGTTGATCTTCCAGAAAGATGCTTCCTCGTCCTTTCGGGCAGGGCCCAGGGCATCCAGGCTGGAGGACCTGCTGCCCTGGGAGGCCTTGAGAGCCTGCGGGCCCTGGGGAGCTTTGGACAGCGGCCTGGGCTCACTGGCTGCAGTGCCGTTGCCGGGATCCTGGATGGACAAGGCGCAGATGCTGAACTCCATTTGACTCTGCGGGCCGGGAGAGGGACAGACAGCAGCCTTAGAGCCCATGTACCAGCACGCGCTCCCTCCCTGTGCGCCCGTGCCGACCCTCTGCTGGAATATTCGCCTGTCCTGAGTGGCTATTCGGGACCACCACATGCACCTGCATGGCGCCAGAGGCTTCCACATCAAGACCGGTCACATGCTGAGCTCCGAGTAGCACCGAGGCCCCTGGATCACCAGGAGGTTCAGGCTCTCTGTTCAGCTGCTCGTCCTCCTTCTGGAGGGCTGCCCTTGCTGGGAGGTGAGGGGGGATGTGCAGAGCAGAAACCACTCTGCAGGGGTCGGCCCTCGGCACAAATACCCACAGGCCGGATGGGGTGAGGCCCATGGCCCACATTCCAGTGCCCACAAAATGCTCTCCATCCAGGAGCCACCCCCCATGGTCCACTCAGAAAAGGAGGGGCCAGGTGTTGGGCCGACACCCCACCGGAACCTGACCCTCCTCCAGGCAGAGGGCGCTGGAGGACGGTGCCTGCCCAGCTCTGCCAAATCAGGCCTGGAAACGTTCTCTGCCCATCAAGCACTCCCTCACACTCCCCTCACTGTCCTCAGATAAACAGTGACAGAACGACGTGACAAAGTTTGACAAATAGGAAAAGATCAAATCACACCCGTAGTCACACATGTGAGGCTGTGGACCCCCTCCACACGCACGTCTCGGAAAGCTGTACCCTGTGAGGCAAAGACCTGGGGTCCTGCTTTCTAGCAGCACCTCTGTGGTGCGTGGCGTCGCCTGACCGTTCTCTCCACTGACACCGCAGCTCCCGGCGGCCGCCCTGGTGCCATTTTCTTCTCTTCGGACAATTTGCTCATCTTACCTTCACGCTCACGACCCAGGCCGGCCACGAGCACCATCATGCACACAGCCTTCCCAGTCTAGGTTAACTTCTTCAGACAGAAGTCCAGAGAGAAATATCGCAATACGAAAGGTTTTGGGCCAGCAGGTGACATGGTGGTTAGGGTACTGAACTCTCACATGGCAGACCACGGTTCGAATCCTAGACCTAGTGGCTTGCCTTCTCACTTCCCCTCTCTCTCTGTCTCTCTCTAGTGAGTGCATGGGCCTTATAGAAAACTTAAATGATAATAATTATTAATTAGTTAGTTTTTTAAAAATACGAAAGGTTTGCACTTGTCTTGTTGATGGTTTTAGTTGTAAGCCATCACACTGCCTCCCGAGAGCTGCCCCTATCTCTACCACCAGCTGCACAGTGGAGATTTTACATAGGGTCTCGCTCCGTGTGCGCCTTCTGCCTCCACCTCCTGAACAGCTGGGCCCACAGGTGTGTGCCCAGACCTTACTTTTAACATGGCCAGGAATCCATGGCCAGGAATCCATGACCAGTCCACTAGGAGATGGTGCAGCTGGATTTCAACCTGGTTCAAGTGATTTCAAGGCCTGGACCCCTGGCGAGGCCTCGCTGCATGGACGAAGCCAGTGACCACAGGTATGGCCAACATGGGAACAGCAGAGCCTCCCGCTCCATACACACACACACACACACACACACACACAGCGTGACTTCTACACATCTGCCCATGATCTCATCTGATTTCCAGGGAACTATTTCTGAGTGAAGCATTCTGAATACTCTGCATATTTCCAAATCCCACAACAGAACACAGGAAGCACAGGGATGGTGGTTTCTTTAAATAAACAAATTGCTAAGAATAGTTGGGAAGTGGAGCCCAGAGCTCAGAGGACAGAGTGGCTTTGATCTGAAATTGTCGTGTAAGGAAGGCACTTAGAACTGGGCACTTGGTCAGACCCTAGGTTTTTGAGGATCAGCAGTTTCTCCGGTGGGAACTTTGCTAGAAGCTTCTGGAAGGCAAGGTAGAACATTCGCCTACGTGGAAAGCGACAATGGGCCAGGCATGCTGGGGAGAGAAGCCAGCCAGGTTCCCAGGTGGCCCCAGGGCCACTGCTGTGAAGGAACTCAGCAGCCCTGAGCTGAGTTCATCCACAGAATGGCCGCGTGGACCGGCAGGCTGCCCCTCCACTTCTGAGCATGGGAGACTCCAGTGGTGCCCTCTGTGCTGACAGAGCAGCTCCCTGGCTTGGGGGCTACAGAGGTGACCGCAACCGTCAAGTCCCCACGTTTGTCTCTCTGTCCTGTGTGTGTGTTGCTCTCAGCTTCACAAGTGACATGTGACTGTAATCTCCTTTACAAAGTCCCCATGGGGGAGCAAGCCTGTGACGTGGTAGCGAAGGCAGCTGGATCCCACAGGACCAACTGTGCAGTTCAAGTCCCAGACCTGGCGGCCTGAAAGATGCGCCAAGCACATGTTCTTTCCAAAAGAAGTGGAGGAAAAGGGATTATGGCTTGGCCATCCCGCATGAGGTGCTCTCTCCCCAAAGACCACATGTGCCCTCTAGCAAAATAAAAACAAACAAAAAGGTCCTCGTGGGTCACTGTGCTGGTTCCAGGGCTCTTCCCATTTCTTAATAATTCTATTATCTAGAATTTCTAAATACAAACCTGTAGGGGTGGGACAGGCAGGAGAAGGGGAGGAAAGGATTTTTCTTTTAAGTTTTATTTTTTCTTCCATGAGAAAGAGACAGAGACACACCAACAGGGGCTTGATGCTGCGGTCCCCCCAGCTCCTGCCAGCCCAGCATGGCCTGTGCGTGCCCAGCCCCTCAGGAAGGTCTCTGGTGAGGCGGGGACCTGTCCCGTGGGGCAGCCTCGCCGCGCCTCCCCATCTCCCCGGCCACAGGAAAGGATCGTCTTTTCCTGTATAGATCCAATTTCTTGGCTCTAAAACTTCCAAGAACTTTAACAAAAACTCCTGCAGGGCCAGGTGGAGGACCCTCCGCTCGGAATGCAGCTGGCGGGCACCCCACTCGTCACCCCTCCCGGGTACTGCAGTGGTGGTGCTGCCCTCCCTGTAGCAACCGCTCGGGGAGGACAGGACTGCGACCTCGCGCTCCGGGATTCGCCATGGCCATGGGAGGCAGCTGCTTCCACTGCAGCCGTTTGCCTTCCTCTTCCTTTTCATTGTCTCATTTCTCACCTACTTTAACTGCGCATCTTTGTGGGCATGACAAGGTGGGCCAGGCACGGATGTGGTGTGGTGTGTGACCGGCAAACCGAGCTCTGACCCAGCACCATCTGCAAGAAGACCCTGCGCTACGCCTATGGCTCCTCACTCCCATGCTCAGAGCTGCAGCCAGCCTGGGCTCAGCCCAGCTGCCAAGCCTCCTGTCTGCGGGCCGGCCCTGGCTGCTGCACCACCGCACACCCCCGGTCCCAGGGCCCTGCCAGAGCTCAAGAGCATCTCACACAGCCCAATCCAACGCCAGTTCCCCTTCCCCTCAGGAAATGGCAGATCCCCACCCCACCCCATCTGGGCATCTCAGACCCCTCACCTACCACCAATCAGCCACCCTGGCATCTGCCCTCCTGCCGCGCTCTCCTTGGCCCACCTCTCCCCACCCCCCTGGCTCTCTAGCCTGTCCTCACAGAGCATGTGTCTCTGAGCAGCGGGACCCCCAGTGCCGCCCCTCCCACCGTTCCCTGTCTGTCCTCTCTCCCTGATCTGGCAGCCTAGTGACATTCTTGGGCCAACGGATGAGATCCCAGGAGCACTGTGCGGTCTCCTGCCAGGCCAGCCAAGCGGACAAGCAGCTCCCACCAGCACCTCGGCCTGGTGCCCCACTCTCAGCCAGCGCCTCCCCTCCTGCTGGGGGTCCAGGCAGTCGATGCTCTGTCCCAGGGTCTCTACAGAGCTGTGCACAGCGTACAAAGCTTCTCCAGCTGCACTGTCACCTCGGCAAGGCACAGTGTCCCCTGCTCAGAGTCAGAAGAGCCCAGGTGCTTGGGCCTCCCTTGCACTTGTCCACGACTACCAATGCGCCATGACTTCCAAGGAGCAGGAGGTCAGGGAGGCCTGGAGCCACCTGGGAAAGGTCACAGCCCAACTCCACCCAGCTGTGGGCAGCCCTGCTACTCCAGGGACAGACCCCACTGCAGGTCCCAGGTGGGGGTGACACATAACCACACCCACACCCCGGGGGACCAGAGTCAGGGTGAGAGGAGTCAGGCCCAGCAGGGATCTACGGCAACTGCCAATGCCCAAGGCTGTGCTCACGGAGGTGAGGGGGCAGGAGACAGCCCAGCATGCAGGGTCCAGGGCAACCCAAGGCATCAGTTTCCCAAGCACAGAGCAGGCACTGCGAGGACACACACAGCTTGGCCCCCCTCGAGGCGGGGAGGGTGGTCGTTCTCCTTTTTATTAAAGAGAAGGCCTTGCCTGGAAACCGAGCATACACCTGTCTGTGGGACCGCCGTCCACCCAAAGGCCTAGAGCAGCCAGCGGCCGGGAGAGTGCAGGGTAGACGCCCAAAGGCCTAGAGCAGCCAGCGGCCGGGAGTGCAGGGCAGACAGCAGACAGTGGAGGTCCAGGCACAAGTTTCTTCTTTCTTTCTTTTTGGAGAGGGTTTTGCTATAGGGCACATGCGCTTGCCAGAAAGACAGAGAGAGACACAGAGACAGAAAGCAAGAAATTACCCCCCAGGAGGGATGGCCATGCCACAATCCCTTCTCCTCCATTCTCCTCTAGGGATCTTGGGCACACACGCACACACGCCCAGCAGGAGTTTAAGCCACCGGTTCCGGAACTCGAACCTCAGTCGACTACATGGGAGTCCGGTGACACAGCCATTACGCCAACTGCTGGTCCCACAAGTTTCTTACTTCAGGGGAAAAAAGGCCATTTTCTCGGGTGCAGAAAAGGGCCGGGCTCTTGGGAATGGAGCACACCAGCCTCTCCCACTGCACAGGCACCACAGGGCCAGGGCCCTGCAGGAGCAAGCCGCGTGAAGGCCGCCGAGGGGAGCCAGCTCCCTCAGCCGTCGGCGCTCGCCCCCCCCCCGCAGCCGTCGGCGCTGCCTCCGGGCAGGAAGCCGGAGGTGGGGGGGGCGGGTTAGGCTCAGAGCCACTCCCGTCTTCGAGAGCCTCTAC